AAAAAAAAGTTTGTGAAAGTGGCCTGACGTCACACTCCCACAATGCTTACCGCCCCATAACTCGGCTGCAGCCTGAGGAGAGCCAGACACTCTCAGGCCCCGAATATAGAAAAATTATTGGAAAAAATCGGAAAAAAATCCCAAAAGGACAGATCGAGGGCAGAAAAACAGGGCGAGGAGCGGCGGCGGGGCTCTCCCACGGCGGGATTCTGGTCCGGTCCGGGATGGAAGGTTACCGGGGCTCCATGTGAAATTGACTAATGCGGTGCTGGAAACTTTTTGGTGGGTAAACTGCTCGCTTTTTTTTTCTCCTTCTTCTCTCTCTCTGTGCCTCTAAGAGCTCATAATGTGGCTGCACGTCCTCGTGTGTGCATGTGAGGCTTTTAAAACCACTTCGCTGACGCCTCGGCTCGCTGACAACATCGACGACACTTGAATTGTTGTGAATTTGTTGTTCCCGACGCGCGATCCGGGCTTTGCGTAATTTTACGCATTTTTTTTTTTTTTTTTTAAATTTCATTTTTTTTTATGTGTGTGTGTGTTTTCATGGCAGCGTGGAAGCAGTCTGGCTATTTAATTAGTAATTCCGCTGATCGCCTTCTCTCTTCTTTCGGTAAATGTGCTGCAAACGTGTGAAGTTGTTCCACTCGGTGCACTTTGTCCAGCGGCCCCTCGCTGTTGACGTTTGATGTTTCTTTGCAAGTTTTTTCTTTCTTTCTTTTTTTTTTTGGAGCAATTTCCCAAGTTTTGATCAAGTGTGGCGTGTTGCCGTGGACGGGACGGTCCCACGGTGGGCTCTGCAACACGGTGCCACAAAGCTGCTGTAAAGTGGAGCCACATTAGTTTCTGTGTGTGTGTGTGTGTGTGTGTGTGTGTGTGTGTGTGTGTGTGCGCATCATACATTCTTTAAATTAGGACTTTAGTGGCTGATATTGAGTCTCCCCTCCACCACCTCCACCTCCACCAACCAATCCCTCCTCCTCCTCCTCCTCCTCCTCCTCCTCCATTGTTGCGGCCTGAATCCACCAAGTTTTGGGGTTCATGTCACCGGTCGGATGTTTTTGTGTGTCTGTTGTGAGAGGTTGTGTTTTCCTTGCAGGCGGGTGGGTAAATAGCAAAGAGGAGGAGGAGGAGGAGGGGTGGAGGTCACAATGTGGGGGTTCAGTTTCTGCACTTGTTACTGATATCTGACCCCCTTTTTTTTTTTTTTTAACACTTTTAAATCTCCTTGACATTGCTGCTGTGTTGTGTTGTTTGGTGCATCTGCTGCGGTTGTGTTGCCTGAACTCAGAGTGAACTTCTGGGATGTTCAGGTGTTTTTATTCCATCTGCTCCTTCCTGTGATTGTCCGTGGATCTTCGCCGCACAGCTGCACGCCACGCTTATTCTCGTTATCGATTAATTTGCCGGCTGGGTTTCGGCGATTATTCGGTTAATGAACGATTAATCGAGCCAACAGCTTTTAAAAACCCTCCAAAACCATCGCTGCGGCTGCTCATCGATGAGTTGTTTGGTTTATAAAGTGTCAGAAAATGTTTAAAAGTCCTCAGTGGTCTTGTTTTTATCCAGAAATATTCAGTTTACTGTCAACAACCCACACAAAATATTCACATTTAGGAAGCTGGAATTAGAGGATTTAAACTTTCAATTTCCTTAAAAATGTACTCGATAAGATTTAATCAATTATTAGGACAGCTGGTGATTAGCTTCATAGTTGACAATTAGTCAATTAGTTTATTAATCATTACACAAAACACTGAACCCTAAATGTTGAATTCATTTTCAGATTAGCTGCAGATTAATTGTTTAAGAGAATAAGACTCGATAACCTGTTGATCATTTTCTCGGTTGATTTATTAGTTGTTTGGTTTCTGAAATGTCAGAAAATAGTGAAAAACATTGATTTAAATGTCCTCAAATGTCTTGTTTTGTCCCCCAACCCCCCCCGAAGATATTCAGGTTATTGTCATAAAAGAGGAAAGAAACCACAAAATATTCACATTAAATCAACTGGAATCAGAGAAATTAGACTTTGTTTTCTTCTCAATTCGATCAATCAATTATTAAGACAGTTGGTGATTAATTATATAGCTGAAAACTGATCGATTAATCGTTGCATCTTCGCACAAAACATAAAGTCTGGAACCCAAAACAACTGAATTAATTTCCAGATTAGTTACAGATTGACTTTCTTAATAGAATAAAGCTCAATAATCTGTTAATTATCTTCTCAGTGTGTCTATCAGTTAATGAAATGAAAGAAAATAGTGAAAAATATCTATTAGTTTTGTCCACAGTCCAAAGATATCGAGTTTTCTGTCGCTGCGAAGGAAAGAAACGAGAAAATAGTGACATTTAGGAAGCTAGAATCAGAGGATTTAGACTTTATTTTATTAAAAATGTACAGTTAGTTGGTGATTAATTTCACAGTTAACAACTAATCAATTAAATGATTACTTGATTAAACTTTACAGCTGCACACAAAACACAAAAGTCCTCCAAACTGGCAACCTAAAGCGAACAGAAACAGAATTAATTTTGAGGATAGCTGCGTGTTACTGATCCAGATAACTGGGTGGATGCAAGTAGTGACTGTCAGCAAAATGAAGGCCGCTGCTAACAGTTATGTTCTCGTGTATTGATGAGTTGTTTGGTTTCTAAAATGGTAAAAAATGTGTTTGTCAGAGTTAAAGAATAACGTCCTTCAATGCTCTATTTTGTCCACAAACTAAAGATGTTCAGTTGACTGTCAAAGAGGAGGAAAGAAATCAGGAAATATTCACAATTTAGAAGCAAAAGTCTTTGACACTTCGATGACCTAAACGGCTGGTGATTAATTTAAATAGTTGACAACTGATCAGTTAATCGTCGCAGCTTTACACAAAGTCCTCAACACTGGCAGGCGAAGACAACTTGTAAAATGTTTTAAATAGGTAAATATAGTAGTAAATAGTTATTAAAAATCACTCAAACTCAATAACTGAATACAAAAATAGGTGGTGATTAATGTAATAGTTGACAACTAATCGATTAATCGATTGTTTGTTGCCGCTTTGCACAAAACAAAAAGTCCATAAAACTGGTTAGGCTCAAAAAAAGTGGGTTCATTTTTAAAACAGTTAAACATAGTAGGAAATGTATAGTTGTATCAGTTCCTAAAAATCACTTGAGCTCAAAAAATGAGTTAATTTTCAAAATAGTTAAATATTGTCGTAAACAGCGCTTTCAAAACGCCTCAAACTGAATAATTGATTATGAAAAATAGCTAATAACTACTCGATTAATTAATCAAGGCAGGTTTCCAGAAAGTCCTAGAACTTAAAAAAGGATTTTCAATATATATAAATACAGGAGTAAACACTGTTGGAAATAGTTTAGACAAACAACAACAAAACAAAACAACAACAAAAACCCAAACGTAAAAACCATGAGAACTGAATCGATTACTAAAACAGTTGGTGACTAATACAACTGTCGACAACTAATCGATTATTTGTTTGCACCAAACAAAAAGCTCCTAAAAATGGTAGGCTAGAGCTCAAAAAATGAGTTAATTTTCAAAAATAGTTAAATATTGTAGTAAACAGTGCTTTCAAAACCCCTGAAACTGATGATGGAAAAATAGCCCAAAACTACTCGATTAATCGATTAATCAACGCAGGTTTCCAGAAAGTCCTCCAAACTGGAAAAGTAGAACTTTAAAAATGAATTATTATGTCACTACAGATAAATACAGCAGTAAAAAGTTAAAAAATCTAACTTTCAAACCACTCAAACTGAATAATCGATTACTAAAATAGTTGGTGACTAATTCAACCCCTGACAACTAGTCGATTAATCGATAGTTGACATATACGCTCCATGCAGATGTGGTGACTCGCTGTAGTTAACCTGATCACTAAGACACCATCTAGTTAAACTGAACAGATAAAACACATGAACACACACAGTGCTGAGGTTCTTTCTCCTTCCAGCAGCTGAACTCAGATCAGTTCAGGCTGGTTAAGTTCTGATGGCGTCTTCCCTCCACCTCAGCCCTGCAGCTCTGAGTCAAGCGAGTGCCACCGAGGCCTGCAGCTACATAATAAGGAAATGGAAGTGAGTTTGTCACGAGACAATGCCTTTGTTGCTGCCACTCGCGCCGCAAGTCGAGACCCATGTGTTGATGTTTGCTGCTTTCTGACTCGGAGCAGGCGGCTGGCGACTGTTGTTGTCGAGGTGTTTTCAGAAGCAGGGACTTGAGTTTTTGACATTAATGGAGATGTTGGAGGTGGATTTGTGAACCGAGGTGGTGAAAAAAAATCTAATTTTAACTCAAACACACCCCCTCATATTCACGTGTGTGCTCTCCCAGAGTGTGTTCTGCAAAAGTTTACTTACAGCGTGTTGAGAACTTAAGTCGATGATGGATTCTGACACCGTGTTGACAAAAATTAAGCTGAGATCGACCTCCAGAAAATCTAACTTTCATTCGTCCTTTAATATTTGTGTTTATTTTTGGTCTTTTATTTTGAAGGGACAGCGTGTGAGTTAGCTAGTGGCTAATTTTCATCTGTTGTCCCAGAAAGAGGACAACCGCAGAGCAATAAATACACGATATGTAAAAATACTTAACTCTGTAGTCCATCAGTGTGAGATAATCCATAAAATCAGTGAATTATTATTGATTATTGGTGGTGATTGCAGCTAAACCTCGAGGCTGGTTTCACTTTAATGCAATAAAACAGACCAGAGTTTTGGTAGCTAACATGCACAAGACTTGTTTTATTATTCCATTTGCAATAAAACACCTTTCACGTCCAGTTTGTAGCACATAATTAATACGTTTAGCAGGAGGAATATGAACCAACCTGACTTACTTTCTGATTCTTCTGTTACGCAGACAAACACGTATTTTTATTTTTTTCTTCTTCTCGTAAATACATTAAAATCCCTCCCACTCCTCCGTATGTCTCTGGCGGCCGTAAACTCCTGATGATTGGTGTTATTCTGGTGTTAAAGCATTCCTGGCTGCTCAGAAATGTTCTGCGCCGGCCCGGGTGCGTGAACCAGCTTCTTCTCATTAAGGTCCATGCATCGCCTTACATTGCTTCCATGCCCCTGTGGTCGGCCGGCAGCGTGTTTCATGTTTGCCTTTGTGATTGAGCGAGTGTGTTTTCCTCAGAGAGCTCACACACACACACACACACACACACACACACACACACACACACATGCCTGTTTGTGAGATCTGTAGATGTGTGTGTGTGTGCTTGAGCTCCTGGTGTGAGAAAGAGCTGTTT